TTTTTTTCCCAAAAAGCCCCTCTCTCCCCCCCCAGGCGCTCGCTCTCTCTCACAAGCCGATAGAGAGGGACTCTTCGAATTCTCTCACTCCCAACTCTCAGTGGCTCTGCTAAACCCTAGACGAAGCTCGTTCCGCAGCTCTCACAGTACGATTCTCGCTCTAAGCTTTGCTTTCTCACTCTTTCTCTTGCTCTGCATTCCGCGATTTCGTTCATGCATCGCTCTGTGCTCATTTCGTCTACTTTGTTAGGGATTTTTTTCGCTTTTCATATTTTTAACTTTGCTTGAATCGGCTAACACTGTAATGTTTTGGAAGAAATTTGCGAGTCGCTTGCTGCATTGCCTTCTGGAAGTCTCCAGAAAACTTTGTTTCTCGTTAATGCAATCTATGTTTTGTGCTTGCGTTAGTGTTGATTTTAGTCATTTTTGTTTATTTTTCAGTTATTTTTTATTTTTATTTTTTACTTCTCTCCCTCGCTTCTCCAGTCCTCAAATTGATAGCGTTGCTTACCTTATAGCATACGCAAATAATATTTATTTATTAATTTTCCAGATTTTGATATTCGTTTATGGTGTCTTGATATTTCACCTTCACCTGCCAGTAACTTGTCAAAATTTCAAGCGATTCACGTATGTCATTGTATTTGTATGTCTACATATTTTCCACATTTCACATATTTTTGTTTTATTTTACTATATGCCTCGGAATTATTTTTTTTCATCTATAAAGTATCTCAGGTATGATTATTTTCTCTTGCTTCTATTGCTGTTTTTTTTTTTTTTTTTTGTCAATTATTTTCATTTGATATAGTTCTTCTGTCAATCTTAATATAACTTATCTTCATAGTTTTGAACTTTTATTTTCCTTTTATTTTATAGTGATCTAACACATGGAAAACATTCTACATTTGGATTTGTGGTCATATTTGTGTTAGTGCCTTTATGTCTCTTTTATCTCAGTTATCCCTTCTAAATTTATATATGGTATGTTTGGTACAGAATGTGTGACTAATTTCGGGTTGTTATGGTGTGTTTTGAGAAGAGTCTCTTGTCCTCATTTTAGAAAACTCTTTATCCTGTTTTATATGGTTACCCTTCAACTTTGAAAAAAAAAAAAAAAACTCAAGGGATTTGTAATCTTAATTATCTGAGAGAAAAATCTGATTATAATGCACAAGAAAGTTCATATGTAATAGTTGAGTAGTTAGCTTGATTTGCTTCCATCTAGTACTGTTTGTAACTTTGGTTCTGACTGAAGCAGTACTTTCTGCATCAGAGCCAAGATCCGAGCAATTACAGCGTTTTACTGAACTTAGAGCTCTTCTATAGTCTAACCAAATTAAAAAAATCAAGTGATGTCAAATGATCTATCAGGAAATTTATGGTTATGCTTTCAACCTTTTTGGCAGATTTTGCTATGTAACCTTAAGGGAATCATGAATGTTTGACAAGCTGAGTTTATGTATAAGCATATTTGTTTCTGTTCAGTTTCCGTGAGGATGGGAATTAGTCCGTTGTTCACCTAATTAGTTTTGATCTTCCTTGCTTTAAAGCCTTGCAGATCATATTTATTCAAGTGAACAATGGAGGATGTAGCTGGCCCTGGAAATGCCGGTGGGGACCCACATTCGTCCCCACCTTCTCCGACCATACCCCCTAATTTGAAGCCAGAACTAGTGGCTCCTCCGAAATATTCTATTATGAGTAGGTGTGGGACTGGAACTACTGGACAAACGATACCGTTGCTTGCAAACCACTTTAAAGTTTCTGTGAATGTTCCAGATGCTGTATTTTACCAGTATTTTGTATGTTTACCTCCTGCGACTCTTCTCTTTACATGCAGTTTATTGTATCTAGTACCAATTTCTTAATGCCATGCTATTTGCAGGTTCGTATTACTTCAGAAGATAAGATAGCTGTTGAAGGCAAGGGAATTGGGAGAAAACTGATTGACAGGCTTTATCAAACATACTCTTCAGAACTTGGTGGTAAAAAGTTTGCATATGATGGGGACAAAGCTCTGTACACACTGGGTCCTCTGCCACAGAGAAGGCTTGAGTTTTCTGTTGTGCTGGAGGAGACATTTGCAAAGCAGTTTGTCCTATTCCTTTTTCCTGGTCTTGGTTTAAAAGTTCTTTTTTATTCTCTTATCAACAATTCATTTGTATTGTCCAACTGGCATTCTTGTGTGTTAGTGAAAATGGGAGCCCCCTGGCTGACAAACGGTCAAGACGTTCTTTTCGGTCAAAAACTTTCAACGTAGAAATAAGCTATGCTGCCGAAATACCTCTGAAGTCAATTGCTCTTGCCCTGAGAGGAGTGGATATAGATAATACTCAGGATGCATTGAAAGTGCTTGATATCATTCTGCGGCAGCAAGCAGCTAACACGTACCTCTCTCTCACTCATATGTTGACTATGTTCTTTTTCAACTGTACTCTGTTCTTCTGTGAACTCTAAATTTGTTTAATTATGACCATTAAACATGCACAGGGGGTGTCTTCTAGTACGACAATCATTCTTTCATGATGACTCCAGAAACTTTGTTGATGTTGGAGCAGGTGTAAAGGGTGTTCGGGGATTTCATTCCAGTTTCCGTCCAACACAGGGTGGCTTGTCCTTGAATATGGGTACCAGATCTTGTGATTTGGTTTCTTTAGTCTTCAAAACTCACTAGCATTGTTGTCACTTGTTTTGTTGACATTTTTGTTTCCATTTATTTGTGCAGATGTATCTACAACGATGATCCTAACGCCTGGACCTGTCATTGATTTTCTGATAACCAACCAGGATGTACGAGAAGCTCGCTACATTGATTGGGTTAAGGTAAAAAAGAAAACTGCTAAATCTTATACTAAAGGTTCAGATTTCAGCATCAACTTTAGTCTGTTAAATTTCAATTTCATGGTAACATACAGGCCAAGAAAATGCTGAAAAATATGAGGATTAACGCAAGGCACCGTAACATGGAATTCAAAGTAATAGGCTTAAGTGAGAAGCCCTGTAATCAACAATAGTATGTGCTTATCTCCTAAAAGTTTGTTTCCTACTTCTTCACATCTGAAAAACTTCCTAATTTTTGGCCCTTTTTTTTTCCTTCAAGTTTCCCTATGAAGTTAAAAAGTGGCAATGGCACAACTGAGGGTCAGACTGTGGAGATTACTGTGTATGAGTATTTTACTAAGCACTGTGGTGTAGAACTCACCTCTTCCCAATACATGCCATGCCTTGATGTTGGCAAGCCAAAAAGGCCCAACTATCTGCCACTGGAGGTGTGCAAATTTCTTTTGCTTATTATATCATTGTTTGTTAGTCTTATCCTCTGTCTGAGATCGTGATTTGTGTTCCTCCCCCAACGAGGTGTTTTAGCTCTGTTCGCTTGTTTCACTACAACGGTATACAAAGGCTTTATCTTCAATGCAGAGGGCATCCTTAGTTGAAAAATCAAGGCAGAAGCCTCATGAAAGAATACGAACTGTGACTGATGTAAGTTTGCAGGTCACTGAATTTTCTTCTTTGACCACATGTTGTAATATTCTTTTTGCTCATTTGCTTTGCTATTGCAGGCAGTGAAAAAATACCAGTATGATGATGATCCTATGCTTGCTACATGTGGTATTTCTATAGAGAAGCAATTGACTCAGGTCAATGGCCGTGTTCTCGAGACTCCAAAGGTAAACAGTTTCTGTATATTTGGATGTGTCCGTAGAGGTGGGGAGAAAGAGAGTGAGTGAGGAGTGTGCCCTCTTCACTCAATCAACTATCAGCTCTCTTTTTAATGCATTCTTTCCTTTGATGAAAAGTTAAAGGTTGGTAACAGTGACGACTGCATCCCTCATAAGGGACGATGGAATTTCAACAATAAGGTATTTATTTCTACGCTTTCTAAAATTCATTTATCAGTTGCTCTCTGAGAAAGAGGTTGCACTGTTTTGTTTCCTTCATTACTACTAGTTGAATTTGATTTTAGCTTATTGAACTTAATTCTGCTTGCAATTCCCTAATCTACCAGACACTTTTCAACCCTACTCGCATTGACCGTTGGCTTGTTGTCAACTTCTCTGCACGCTGTGATACCAGTCATATCTCACGGGAACTTATCAACTGTGGGAGGAAGAAGGGCATTGTAGGTTACACCATTTGCTAAGTTTTGTTTTTAGACTTATGCTGATTCTGATCTCTCTGTCTCTCTGTCTCTCCCACATGTGCAGTTTATTGAGCGTCCCTTTACATTACTTGAAGAAGATCCACAATGTAGAAGACAAAGCCCTGTAGCAAGAGTTGAAAAGATGTTCGAACAGATTCTAGCTAAGCTTCCAGGGGAACCTCAATTCATTCTTTGTGTCTTACCAGAGAAAAAAAATTGTGATATATATGGTATGGCTTTGTTATTAATAATTGACTATCAAACTCAATTTGATCCCGTAATTAGTTTATGCTCTTATACATTTTATAGGACCTTGGAAGAAAAAAAGTCTTAGTGAGTTCGGGATTGTCACACAATGCATTTCCCCTTCCAAGATTAATGATCAGTACCTGACAAATGTTCTTCTTAAGATCAATTCTAAGGCAAGAAGCTAAATGGTGAATATATCGCTACTTTAATAATTAATGGACCCTATTGATTTTTTCTGTTTGTCTAATTCTATATAGCTTGGAGGAATAAATTCTTTGTTGGCAATAGAACACTCCTCATGTGTTCCTCTGGTTAATGATACTCCTACAATGATTCTGGGGATGGATGTCTCTCATGGGTCTCCTGGTCGCTCAGATATTCCTTCTGTTGCTGCGGTAATTACAATTCAAGTTTCTTTTTATATTATATACCAATCTGTGCATTATGGTCATTTTGTTTCTTCAATTTTGTTGGAGTTTCAGGTTGTTGGCTCTCGAAGCTGGCCACTTATTTCAAGGTACAGAGCAGCTGTTAGAACACAATCTCCTAAGCTAGAGATGATCGATGCTCTGTACAAGCCACTTGAAAATGGAACTGATGCTGGTATTATCAGGTATTTGAGCAGGGAATTTAGTATTCGTACCAGTTGATCACATGTTAAGAATTATAGTTTGCTTTCACACTTACTGGACTCTCTAATATGGCCCATTAGATATCAGAAGTCTTCACTCCCAAATTTAGTACATAAAAGTTGTGGCTATTAATCTCTTGTAACTTAAATGAGACCTGATTACAATATTGTATATTTTGTACAAAGTTTGATGAAATTAAAAATATTTAAGATAGACTGGTGAAATTCATTTATTTAAAATTATCAATTCCAGTATACTGCTAAAGCTGGAAATGCCTTTTGTTGCAGGGAACTGCTTGTGGACTTCTATAAAACAAGCAACGGACGTAAACCAACTCAGATTATTGTCTTCAGGTATCATGACATTGTATTGGTAATTTTCTGGCTATTTTGGTATTTGAAAAAGAAATGCTAATGACCCAGTTTTGGTCTTTCAAAAGTGACTTCCTTCGAAACGAAACCGGAATACAGTCCCAAACTCACAGTATGTTTCATAATATCTTGTGGGCGCTGCAAATATAGAGTCAAGCTAAATCCACAAAGAGAAATGTACCCCTTTTGTGGTGATATCATATCATATCAGATATGGTGGATTCACTTCACATTGCAACTTGTGTAATTTATATTACTTGGTATTTTCCAGTTGGAGGCCATTCATCGTAGTCGTATTTTGATTTGAGGCAATGTGGCCACCCTTCATGGCAGGCGTTAATTTGTCATATAATATGTGTGGATGCTGCAAATATAGTCAAGCTAAATCCACAAAGAGAAATGTACCCCTTTTGTTGCCTACTGGTGGTGATATCATATTTTATGTACTATTCTTACTGAAGGATATATCTGGCCTATTTATGCTGTTACATCCTTCCATTTTACACTTAAATAGGAATATTGCTCTTTGTTTGGTTTATGCTTCTAGTGGCCCTCTTAATTTAATTAGAAACTTTTTATTTGCTTAGTTCGTTTTTCCCCCCAGTTGAACTGGTTTTTTTACTTATGTTTGGAGCATGAAATGTGGCAACTGTCTTGTTTTTCCTACTGCTACTTGTAAAGACATGTTTTTATTTATTTATTTTAGGGACGGAGTCAGCGAATCACAATTTAATCAAGTCTTGAACATCGAGCTGGACCAAATCATAAAGGTTCTGCAATTCAATTTTTCTTTGTCCATTCAATGTAGTACTTGATTTGAAGGATGATTTACTCTCTCTTTGCTACATGTCCCAATTTGCATTTTTAGTTTTGACAGTTAATTATATCTGATCTAAGAAAAGCTTTTTATCGGAATACCCACTCAAGGCGACAATTGCTATATTTAATCAGTTAGCCTCTGGTATTTAATCCAATCATGACTTGAAATTGTTGAAATACCCAGAAGTTTAGTAGTTCCTGCCTTATTCCTGCATAAGCCCCTTTCTGCCAAGAGCATTAATGGACTGGGTTTGTCCCTAGGACCTGCTATAAACCATGTGCTGAAGTTCGTTGTTTTTTTCTCAACATTAAGATGGTCAAATTTTTATTATTACAGGCTTACCAGCACCTTGGGGAGGTTGATGTTCCAAAGTTTACTGTGATTGTTGCTCAGAAAAATCATCACACGAAGCTATTTCAAACCGGGGGTTCCACTGATAATGTTCCACCTGGTCTGCTACTTTCTGAATTTTGTTATTGCCTTTATCATTTATCTCTTTGTTTTAATGCTCTCTCTCTCTCTCTCTCTCTCTCTCTCTCTCTCTCTCTCTCTCTCTCTCCAGGGACAGTTGTGGACACAAATATTGTGCATCCAAGGAATTATGATTTCTACATGTGTGCTCATGCAGGAATGATTGTAAGCACCCGCCCCCTTACCCATTGTTTCAGCGTATTTGTTTCCCCCCAACTCAACTCAGGTGTCTAAATTCCCTTTTATCACGTTTTTTTATCTTTTGTGTTGCTTCATATGACAGGGAACTTCGCGGCCAGCACACTATCATGTCCTGGTTGATGAGATTGGATTTTCTCCTGATGGCTTGCAAAACCTAATCCACTCCCTTTCTTACGTGTAAGCTTTTCATTTTCAATCCCTTTCCATATGACTCAGCTTGAATAACCTTTCAATTGAATTTATCTAGATATATGTTTGCTTATTTCAGGTACCAAAGGAGTACAACTGCAATCTCCATTGGTAAATTAAACACACTTCTGCAATTAAATTTTTTTTCTTTTATTAAATTCTTTTCCAGTGGAAATGATAAAATCTAGTTAGTCTAGAGCTTTACTTCCATCTCACTATTACCAACCATTTTCCAGTGGCGCCCATATGTTATGCCCACCTTGCTGCTGCACAAGTGGGGCAGTTTATGAAGTTTGAAGATCTCTCAGAAACCTCATCAGGGAACGGCAGTGTCACTTCAGCTGAGAGTATCCCATTTCCAGAGCTCCCTAAGTTGCATAAGAATGTCCAGGGTTCCATGTTCTTCTGTTGAGTTGCTGCTGCTAGCTTCCCTTGTGAATAATGCTAATATGATTTTAGCCTTTTGACTCTATAATTAATCTAGCGGTATAAGGGTATACAAGTAGGAAAGTCAATCCCGGCTTACTCTTAGGTAGGGCGGAGAGATAGGTGTACAGGCAGATTAGCAACCTCTTAGTCTAGTTTGTAGACAAGTTTTGAGGCTTTATATGTTGCAGGATGATATTATTGAGGTATGCTGAATTCAACAAGTAATTTTTGTCTCCTTTTTCTGGGTATGACTAGGACTTAAAGATGTTCAAAATCAAGACTTGACCATCAGGAAATGTTTTTGGAAGTAATTGACTTAATTTTTCGATGGAACTATCTTTGAAAATTTTACTTCATTCTACCTCATTGTTATTTCGTCATCAATTTTGCTCCAGGAACTCTAATACTTAATATCAATTTCGATGCAAACTGTTCTTCTTTTATGGGGATAGTGAGAAAGCTCATTGGGATGATCGCTTCAAAGAGATTCTCCCACGGTTTATGTGGTGAAATGAATCACTTGCTGGCTTAAGGATGATGATGCTTTAGAAGGTGAACTAGTCATATATTTAATATCATCTCATGTCTATACTTCTCACTATTTTCTCACGCTTGATGATATAGCTTATCTTTGCCCTATGATCTTAGACCAACAGAATCAGTGTATTGGTCAAGTTTGGAATTCCTGTTCGCATATATGTTTGGTATGATTCCGCATTTTTGGCTTCTTTCAACTTTAATTTATTTACTGTTGACCTTTTGTTTAAGCAGGGGAATTTAAATGCTTATACAAAAATCACAGCCTAGCTTCTGTCGCAGTCAAATTCTTTTGGTAAAATGTAAGTTAGTCATGATTGACTTTTCCAAAGCATGGTTTGACCAGCCTTTATGCATGCTAATTTGTCCCCTTGTGAACTTATTGGATATGATTCGTTTCCTAGTTTTCTTGGGACATCTGGTCTAAAAGGTTAGGATCCTGATAATCTATAGCTGGAACCAAACTAGCCGATGTGAAGGCAACTTTACTTTTAAAGTGCCTGACCGAAGACGATGTTTAACTTCGTGCAATGCTGCCTACTTCTACTGGCTTTGCTTGACCTATTGGTTTTCAATAATTTATGTTAAAGCTTTAACGTCCTTGACCAACTGCCAACGTCCTTCTTTCTAATTATGTTTGTGTATTATCATGGTCCTCTTCCAAATGCGGCTGCTGCCTTTAGATTTCTCTCTCTCTCTCTCTCTCTCAACAGACCTTTCCCTGTTACAAGGCAACAGACCTTCCAAAGGACTACTTTGGACGCCTTGACAGGTCTTTTCGATAAAAAGATGACACGTGTTGTCCTATAATTTCAATGTCAGAATTATTTCCAGGGGTTCAGTAGTTAAGGTATGAAGCCACAAAAGTGACAGTTAGCTAACTTATAAAGACTTTCACATCAGGAGTGGTAAAACATTAATTAGTCCTAAGTTTACGAATTTCAACTTTTCTATTAACCGAAAATGGAAAATTCGATATGGGTAAAAATATTTCATAAGATCGTGACATAGTTGCCTGTTTGACGTTTGCCAATCAAGATGCACCCAAGTATTTCATTTACGATTAAATTTTTTGTTTTTTTAACGCCCAACCATTTATGCTGCATCTAATAATCACATAGCCTAGTGTAGTATGGTCTGATTTGATGGCCCGTCTTGGTCTTGGATTGAATTAGAGTCAAGTCTAAACCAGTTCTCATCTCTATGTAGGATTTATAAGATACAGGACAATTTAACAAATCATTTCGATGTTACTGCAATTATGTTGTTTGGCTGCTTAGCTTATCAGAGAATTTTGAGAAAGAAAAAAAGAAAAGAAAACCCCGTACCCAAACCGGTGGTCAAAAGTGTAGAATACTTTATTCTCAGTTTGTTGTGGCAGAAATTAAGTTGACGTAGGAGTCAACAATAGTCCTGAGTTGCTGCCATGCGGTGAACCTAAGAAATCAGGGCCTGTGCTACAGAGCCTAAAGCGGCCAGTGAGGACTGGGACTATACAAGGGGTTCGTTAGCCAATCACAAAAATGAGTCATGACTTGGCGAGTCGTGACAAAGAAGGCCAAGGGCTCTCTCTCTCTCTCTCTCTCTCTTTCTCTCTCGATGTCTGGACATGACACTTTCTACGCTGCCAATTGGTGGTGGTCCACTGGGTCGAATCTAATTGCCCACCCTCCCCCGGGACCCACACCTGCTAGTGTAGTGTGAATTGTGCAAAGAGATTTCTTGGGGCAAAATTAACCTCTTTGGACCATCGTACCCTTCCCAATCCCAGATGAGTCCCCCTTTACGGTAATTAATTTAATTCCACTCAATTACAGTGATAGCCACACCCGGCGAACGACTTGGGGTCTCAGTTTTTTATATTGACCATTATACCCTTCCCCTCATTTTCTTTCCTTCTTCACAAACAATAAAAGGAAAAGGGATTTTGACCCCAAAAAAAAAAAGGAAAAGGGTTTTATAATGTTTGAACTGGTTCAGTTCTTCGCTGCCACTTGAAAAAAAGACAAAACTATCGACAACGTTGGTGCACACGTTTAGAAAATCCTACACCTCTGATAAATGCATAGATCTTGTCCATGGTGGTGGCCAACCTGGCTATATATATGGGTGATCCTATGATATCCTTATTGCTACTAGTAGCGTGAAGCATGACATTTGTTTATAGGATGAGGCATGGATCTTTCTCTATCCACAATTTCATGTTCCAATTGTAGTAGATATTTCCCACCACAACCACTAGAGTGCTAGTCCTCTACAAATGTGATTGAGGAACTATACATACACTAAGAAATAAATAGTACACTTCAAAATGATTTTATCATATTAACATAAACGTGTCATTTTTTTATTCTCAAGTGTTGTTTGAGGTCAAGTAGGGCAGTTGGCAGATCAATTAATGCGTGAAAAAAAAAAGTACATCTTCAAAATGATTTTAGCATATTAACATAAACATGTCGTTTTCTCATTCTCACTTACTGCTTGTGATTAAAAGGAATGGTTGGTAGAAGAATTAATATGCATAATTAATTAAACATGACTGTGAGTTACTAAACTTGATTGGCATTTCAATATTTGAGTTACAATTCAAGATCTATGGGTTTCACTAATTAACTCCGCTATATAATTTTAGATCTTGTGGTCGAAATCTCACACCTCCCCCTAACTTTCATCTTGCCGAAATCTCTCCTGACCTTTTAAGGGCGACAATTTTTTACATTTCTCCAAACCCAACAAAATGAAATACAAAGTGTAGTAAACAAATACTTCTTTCAGGAAGACATAAAACACTCTTCTTGTCATTATTGTAAATAACTTTTCATTGATGGGGATAGTTTCGTCTTTTACAAAATACGGTAATTTGCAAAAGATCACTCCGAATCTATTCCACTAGAATTCTGAATCCAACGATCAATATGAAATCACAGGCTTATGAACCAACGGTGATGGATTTATTCAATTATATCACATTGAATTCCTTTTTCCAAATCATAAATAGTTTCATATTAAAAATATATAATAAGAAAAAGATATTCCAGACCAAAAAATATTTTTTTTTTAAAGAATAAATTCCTGATCGCCTGAATGGAGCAGTAAATAATGGCATGGGCATGTGCGCTTTAGTTTTTGACAACATGCTTCTGCATTAATCAAAGTTATTAACCAACATAATTGGAGCCCATCCATAGTTGGAGCCCATCCAGGACCACCTCGTGGTTCAGACCAAAAAAAAAAAAAAAAAAAAAGTTATTAACCAACATAATTACTCAAAATAACGCAGCATAAGAGCCCGACACGTGGTGGGCATAGATGTCTTTTCAAGCAAGGAGCTATTTAATTATTCGTACACGAGGGGATGAAACTTACTTTTTCCGGGTTCACATTCAAAGATCCCCAACAGTTCCTTGGCCTTTTTGATATAGTTGGAAAAGGAAAAGAGAAAAAAAGCATGGAGAAAAAATAAATTAATTAAATTTATATCAAATAGGAAACACATTGTCATAGCCATAATTTTATTTAGATTTCAGAGTTATATCTCTCTGATTCTCAGTCCCTTTTTTTTATGCTCCAAAAGCTTTTTTGTTTTTTTCTATCTCCTCCAGTTTCACAGTCTTTGATCACATTCACACAGCCTTTGTATTTTGATTTTTGGGTCTGTTTTTGTTGTCAATTTCTGAGATTTGGGAGTCGGCTGCTGTGATTTTCCTGACAAAGTCTGAAGCTTTTTTTATGAGTTTGATTGGCGAAACTGAGAGAAGCAGAGCAAAGCAAAACAAAGGGCGGGTGTACACAACCTCTGTGCTACCGATGCCAGACACTCGGCAGGCTCTGAAGAATGCTGTTCCGAATCAATCCGATGGCAACGTTGAAGGTAACACCGCGTTTTGATGTACCCAGTTGGGAGTATAACGATCTGATGATGGTTTTGTATTGAAATATCTCTCTTATGTTATGGTTATGATATTTTGTGATCATGACGGTGCAATGTGTTATGTGTCGGTTTACTCTGGGAATGTATTGAATTGTTTTGATTCTGTGTTTTGTTGATGTGTTGATATTGTCATGGTTTCGGAGAACTCCAGTGGTAGGTGCAATGCATATTGTGGATTATCAAGGAATTTGTGTTTGTTCATAGTATATTAGTTGAAAATTCAGAATTTTGTTCAGTTGTTTAAAAACTTTACCTTTTTGTGACAAGTGGGTATTTAGTTGGTAAGAAGTATGATGTTGATGCAAGTCATATTCTTATTGGGGTTTTGAAGAATGTTGTTTTGTATCATTGTTTAGTTGTAAATTTTTGATTCGTTTGGAGATTTCACATTATGCCTTCAAAGTTTCTTTTTTTGGGGGTTCACTTTCAGAACCAATTGAAAATTTGGTTGATCCTAGTTTACTGCTTTATTAGTACCACGTTTCGGAAGTTGTAATCTGTTGCTACTTCGTGTTAATTCTTTTGGGCAGTTCTGATATATCATACAATGCAGATTGAGGCTTTGGAAATTTGAAGATTTGATGTCCATATGTAATTTACGCATCTATTTCTTGTATCCATTGTAGAGGCATTTTGGCGGTTGAATATCAACGATAATCAAGATGGGGGCGGTGTGGCTCAGTCTAACCCATACCCTGATCGACCTGGTGAACCTGACTGCATTTATTATTTGAGGACTGGTTTGTGTGG